TGGTAAATCATTTAACTAAATCTGATCAACATAGGTTTTCTAGATATTTGGCTGCAGTGTACATCAAAATCAGTAACTACCAATGTAATGTATATATTGGAATATTGTATGTATATATACATGCCAATGTTCACGTCAAAATCTAAGGGGGCCGTTAACGCGTTAGCGTTAGAATTTTTTAAAATTGTGAACATGAACTTCTATTTTCATAGATTAACACTAAATAGCATTCGTAAAGGTCCGATATCGTTTTCATCGTCTTCTTCACGTTTTTCTGATTCTAACAATACCAAGCTTGACTCCAACAGATGCGCTATAACATTAGGTAGGTTATTGGGGCTCTGGAGCGCTAGCGGGTGCTCTGAAAAACATTTGAATGTTTGTCGTAGTCCGTGGCAGCCATCTTCGAACTTCTTCTTGTTCTTCTAACCGCCAAAATTACTCATTCCCTATGGAATTCCGGGTAATTTCCAGATGGATCTCGGTTTTCCATATTTTTGTGATGGTATTGTGTATCTTACTTGATAATTATTACAGAGATTCGTTCTGACATCTAACACTCCCAATCCTTCTATGCGTAGTCTGCAACAATGTCATTCTGCACATTTCTTTTTAGAAATGAATCCAAGGTTTTAACTGTGTCTTAATTACTTTAGAATACAAAGGTGTAAGTAAATAAATTTTTAAAATGATTTTAATATAGCAACTTACTTTACTTTATTTTAGCAAACTTTGAACACACACCATTTATTTGATAGTACAATGAAGAAGTTTTCCTTCAGACCAAAGATTTAGTTGACGCTTGAGTAAAGCTACACTTAAATAAAATAAAAGTTGATTACATTCTTGCAAAAGAAACAGATAGGCACAAAGTCAAGAAAAGTTCCTGGAAGGTGCAAATCCTGAAAAACGATGTAAATGGGGAGCAGCACTTATGGATTTATCTAAGAGTCTGGTAAGATCGAATAGTCTTTTGCTAAACTTTCTAAATCTATTCAAGAATGGATAAAGCACCATTGCAAACAATTTTACGGGCAGTCAAATTTTAAGTTCATGCCAAGATCAGAGATCTTTTTACACAAGAGGTCATTTTATGGTAAAAGTCAGACAGATATAAACTCTGAAAATTATAGAAGACAAGCGATAGGCAGGAGCAGGGGCGCAAATTAATCAAGCTCCAACAGTCAACTTTACACGATCAGAGATCTTTTCACACCAGAGGTCATCTTATTGTAAAAGACAGACAGATAAAAACTCTGAAAATTATAGAAGACAAGCGATAGGTAGGAGCAGAGGCACAAATAAATCAAGCTCCAAAAGTCAGCTTTGTAATTTCCTAAAATTATCTGAAATTCTGAGAAACTGATTGGCTTACAAATTCAAACATTTCAGAAAATGTGTTAAAACCTTTTAAAAGACATAAAAATTACTCACCAAAATATTTGCCTTGTTTTTCTTGGGTTAGGAAGAGAAGACAAGACATTTTTATTTTTTTCCTTCTTAAAGCCCC